TCTGCTGTTTTAGTTTTTGGAGTTTCTACAGGTTTTAGGGCAGCAGGGTATATTGCTTTTACGCCCTCAATGTGTCCCAGGACAACACGCGGATCTACAGTAATATTATGGCATGTGGTATTTGTGACAAATACTGGGACCATGGCTGAGTTGCCCCTTTTTACTTTAAACAATACTTCCTGCAAATGAAGCCCCTCAGGCAGGCTGGGGTTCAGAACAGGACAAAATAACATTAGAGTGTCCTCGTCAGCCTGTATGCGTGTGCAACAGCGAATGGTAGTAGCTTCACTAGGGCCTAAAACAACTTTACTCCGCCCTGTCTTGACTTGGATCTCTTCCGCAGCTGTTCGATGTGTCTCTATCAACTGGATAAAAGTCTTAGCAGATCTGACGTCAATACCAAAAGCACTACTCACAATATTTGCAGCACAGTCACTGTTTTTAACACCCTGTTGTTTAAGTTGCTCGTTGATGATTTCCAATACAGGCACTAGGAGACTAGAGCTGGTCGTCTCCACCCCCGTCAGTCTAAACTCTACAGGGACCCACCCCATAAATGGTATCTCTGTCTGATTAGCTGCGAGCCCATTTAATGGTTCTGAACCTAAGAGTTCATCTATCCCCCGGATAGCGGTGTGAGGTAAGTGCTCGACTCTCCAGTTCTCATTTATTACGGTAGCCTGTGCACCCGTGTCCCACAATGCGGTGACTGGTACATTGTCAAAGGTGCATCTCACCATTTTTCGTCTACCAATCAGCTTCACTAGTTTTTGTCCTTGCTTATCTGATAGAAGGTCAGAATATCCCATGTATGACAAACACCCCTTTTTCTCTCTTTCCCTCAAATGTTGTTCAACTAGCCTCACCGCTTTACATACATGTTTGTGATGGTGCCAGTGTTGTCCCTGACAGGCTTTAGAACAGTAACTGACAGATGAGCAGCCTGCACACCTGTGGAGTGGGGTGCTGACCAACTCTCTCTGGTGGCAGCAACCACAGCGGCGGGACTCCTGATGTGGTGGTGGGGTCACTGCTGGTCCCGTGGCAGTGGCCCTCTGGCGTTTCCCTGCAGCTGAAGTGGAGCTCGGCATCCTCTGGAGATGTGGCCGGGCTGGCCACACTTAAAGCAGTGGGTGCAGTTGTCTCCCTCTCCATTGCTCTGGCAGGTCCTGCAGCTTTTCTTCCTCCGGGTGTCCGTGGCAGCATCTGATGTCCTCTTTGTAGTCTGCGACTTGCCAGCGTTCAGGGAAGCAAGAACCATCTGCCTCACCTCTGCAACCTCGTTCCTCAGCTCTTTCACCAGGTCGTGCATTTCGGGTGGAGGATGATTTTTCTTGTCTTCCTTGGTGGCGGGGATCTGTGAGCTACTGCGTGGTTCATCCCTAGTATGTAGCTCATTGATTCTTGGTGGTTTTGTATTGTTCCTCTTTAACTTGTTCAGTCTTTCTGTCTCGAGATTGGCAGCTTCATTTAGTTTCTCAATCAGCATTTCATCAGTCACATCTGGGTTGTCAAGAAGGGCTTTAACTTGGAACTTTATGTTGTCATTTTGCAGCCCAGTGCCCACTGATCTCAAAAACTTCATTTTTACCAGGTCCCGACTGTAGTGTTCTGCTTCTTTGTCCTTGGATGCGTACAGGAGGCGATCTTTAAGCTCAATGGCTCTGAATAAAAAAGTCTTGAGCTGACTCTTTTGGATCTTGGGAAATATTTATCAGTTTTTGGTACAAATCAGATGTGTCATCTTCTCTGTAATGTCCTTTCAATATTGTCTATAACTGTGTGAGTGTCAAATCAGTCTTTATTTCAAGCATATCACGCAGTTTGAGACCTGGATTGATGGCTCTTATCACTGCTTCAATAACTTCTGACTCACTGTGGCCTTTGTGGAGTCCATTTTCCATCTGATGCAGCAGGTTGGTATAGGACAGCCGATCGCGCTGCCCTCCCTCTCCTATTTGGCCACAGGTGCGAAAGTCCCTGCGAATTGTCACCTCTGGTACTTTAGAAGACGGCAGGTTCTGGCCGAGGCTCGGGGCAGCATCTGCCATCTTGAGTTTCTGCCCTATCACTCTAATTTCTTCCTGCAGCTCGTCATACTTGTCTCTTTCGTCTGAAGGGCGGGAAAAATCACTCTCGGCCGCATTGTCTTTAGCTTTATATTCGCCCAAAAACGATAAAAGTTCTTTCACAAACTGTACAGCATCGTCTGGTGTATAACTGTTTTCCACCTCGTCCAGTTTATGTTCTATAACTTTCATCAGGTGGCGTCTGGAAGTGTCTTTTGTGGGCTCATCTAGCGGTGTAGCAAAGCCTTTCACATTATAACCCACTTCTATGAGCTGATCACGACTTAGCTGGCAGAGTGTGGCGGTGATCTTATCTCGTAGGGCTTCTACCTCCATTGTGGCTACTCACAAGCTTGTCTTTAGTCTGTCAGATTTCAGGTCCGGTGCTTGGAGAAAGGTTTTTCTTGAGCGGTGCGGTAGCGCTAACGTTAGCCGCTAATGGCGCTAACCAGGCTTCTGCTTCACTCTCGTGCTGGAAGTTCTTCAAACCTTCCTCCTGGCTGGCTCGCCATGATATGTTGCAGCTTTAAGGCAGGGATGACTCCTGGAGTTGCTTTCTCACTGCATATGCTTTATTTCACAATCAGATCGATAACAAAAACATACAGCAGCTCCTTTCCTACTCCTAGCCCTTCGCTGCGGTGGAAAAAGAACGACTCCAATCCCCTTAAAGGAACATACGTACAAAAGAGATTTCCTGACACACCAATGAGGCGTTCAATGCCATCTTGTAAATATGAGTACTCTGGCAGAATAACAGTTTAAATGAAAAATACACCAGAACAAACAAGCAAACAAAAAAAGAAGTGTGGGGTACCTTTGAACCAATGAACAAAGTATAACAATTTATACTTTTTAACATAACCTGACCCCGTCAATATGTGATATGTCTCACAGTAATATTACCCTTATTACTCTTTTCAACACTTCATTAATTAAAATAGCATTGATAATATTTTTATAAAAATATAAAAATACTTTTAGAATGCGGCAATGGTGGAGGAGAGCGGGTTTGAAATATTACTCTTTATGGATCACAAAATAAACTTTTAAGATATTTTTAGCCGAGAACGTAGGTGTGTAAACATTAAATATCTGCTCGGTTTTTGAAGACATCATATATTTGCAAAAGTACTCTGATATTTTTGGAGCCGTCTGCTACCCACCAGCTCGATAGTTAGCTGGAAGGTCAAGGCTCACTAGAGCTGGTGAGAACAGCAAACTCCCAGCACATCATTTTCAGATCCCTGCTGTCTTTCACTACTCAGCTTAAACATGATATATAGATAACTTAAAAATTTTATTGTTTGGCTTTTTTCAGTGTTTTACTTGTTCCTGAGTAATTTGGCTGAGATTAAAGTTACAGTTTTCACAAAGTTTAATAAACATCACATAAACAGAAGTGTGAGATCGTTGAGAGGTTACGCCAGTGTCCTTTTTGTATTTTAGATAGCAAGGAGCATGTGCACAGCTGAGTTTATTAAATTCCACTGAGACAGCTGGTGACACAAGTCTGAAGGCTAGACTGTTGCATTTCACAGACTCACACTTCCGGCCTTTTCGGTCTTCAGAGGACTGGGCCCACGTAGACCATGAAGGCTGGACCCTCTGAAGGATGCAGCCCCTGAATTGGCACATGGCAAACATCTGTTTTATGCCATTTCCTTTATTTATTTTTCATTCCCATAACTCCCTGATCTCAGTTCTTTCGATACTTATTATTTATGTTTTTCCAGTGTTGCCAAAGTTCTTGGTCATATGGATCTTTCTGATTTTCGGGTTTTCTCAGCATCATTGTCTTTATCTTACCAAACAAAGAACTTTAAGCCCATTGTTGTTGCAATTTGGTATTATGAACAAAATAAAGTTGAACTGAATTACATTTAAATGAATATATGGTGTGAAAATTAACAATTTATGAAGCAAAAAATGTTTAAAATACACTCAACTGGCAGAGAATGTTGTTTGTGTGGAGTTGTTCTTTATGTTCACCTCAAATCAACCTGAGTGTCATTTCTCTTTAGTTCTGATCTCACTGCTGAGCTACACAACAAACCAAGGTCAGTAACCTTCTTCTGTCACAGTTTAAACCTGATAAATGCTCACTGATATGACCTGATTGGATTCATGTTTGCAGATGTAAAATCTCAGAAAAAAAAAAAGTATAACAGATTATCAGTTTTTTTTTTTCATTTTAACCGTCACAGCTCGTCTGACTGTCAGTCCCAGCAGCTCTCAGTTATTTAAAGGACACTTTGTGTCTCTGAGCTGTGAGGAGGACGACAGCTCTGCTGGATGGACTCTGAGGAGAAACACAAGCAAACAACAGAGGACTCAGTGTGGAAGCACATGGGGAAAACCAGCTGGTTCTTCCTGTATCATCACTATGATGCCTCATGACAGTGGAGTTTACTGGTGTGAGTCCAGAGAGGGTCCCATCAGTAACATGGTTAACCTGACAGTCACTGGTAAGCTGAGTGTGTGGAGTTAGTGTTGATGAAGCTGTGTGTAAATGGATAAAATGCTGTAGTTTGTCTCTGTGTTGAGGTGGATCAGTGATCCTGCAGAGTCCTGTCCTCCCTGTGATGGAGGGAGATGACATCACTCTGCTCTGTAAAACAAAGACCACTCCCTCCAACCTCCCAGCTGCTTTCTATAAAGATGGCTCCCTCATCAGGAAGCAGCCTACAGGTCACATGACCATCCAGCATGTTTCCAGGTCTGATGAAGGCCTCTACAAGTGTGACATCAGCGGTCATGGAGAGTCTCCATCCAGCTGGATCACTGTCACAGGTGACACACTCACCTGTCTGTGTTTCTGCAGCTTTCAACATTCACAATGTGACGACAACTTAATGACTGTGTTTGCTTTATTTTAGGGGAACACACCACCACACCTCCACCTACATCCACACCTCCACCTACATCCACACCTCCACCTACATCCACACCTCCTCTTGGTTCCACCTCCATCACTCTTCCACCATCACTCTCTCCTCTTGATCTCTCTGTGCTTTCATTTGTTGGATCAGTCTGTGTTGTGGCTCTACTGGTGTTACTGGTTCTGCTGGTGAGACAATGTGTTCACAGGAAACCTGAAGGTGAGACTCAGACTTCCTGATCTTTCATGTCTGAGTTTGTTTAGTAGAATAAAGTTCACATTCATTATGATCATTAAACAAAACAAATAAGAAAGGTCAGGATAGGTTAATTAAATAATCTAAATTGCCCATAGTTGTGAATGCATGAGTGAGAATGATTTTCTGTCTCTGTGTGTTAGCCCTGCGCCTGACTGGTGATCTGTCCAGGGTGTACCCTGCCTCTCACCCTAAGACAGCTGGGATAGGCTCCAGTGTCCCCCGCGACCCTGAAAAGAATAAGCAGAGGCAAATGGATTTTTTAATTTATTAATTTAAAAAACCAAACAAACCAAACAGTAAAACCCAAGAATCATATGACCTCCTATGAGCAATTGCTTTGGTGAAAGTGGGAAGGAAAATATGCCTTTTATCAGGAAGGAACCTCCAGCAGAAACAGGCTCAGGGAGGGGCAGCCATCTGCCGTGATTGGTTGGGGTGAGGGGAGGCAGACAGACAGAGGCACGCTGTGGAAGAGAGGTAGAGATGTATAAGGGCTAATATTTAAATGCAGAGAGGAATAAAAGCACATAGTGAGTGAAAAAGGTGACTCAAAAAGAAACACTCGTGCATCGTTGGAAGCTTGCTTTTCGGCACCACTTTGAGACAAACAGGGAAAAAAAGCTCACATATTAATTTTAATATGCACACTGATGTAATCTGGTCAAAATTAACTAGAGGGTTTCTAAGTGTTTTAATGTTTTATTTGGGGATAGAATGGTGTGTATGTGTGAGTTTGGTGATGGAGTTTTTTATTATGAATTTTTTTATGAATTATTATGTCTACTTTTTATGTTTTATGGACAACAGATGGAAATTAGCCCTTGGCTATAATCTGGTATGTTTACATTCATGTAAGCTTTTTTTTACATGTATGTTCATTAACATGCACTGTCCTAAATAAAATAAAGAGTAATAAAGAGTAAGGCCAAGGTAATGATATCAGTACATATCTGGTTAGATACCACATGTCTGAGATTTATTGTGGGTCGAATCTCTGTTTAGAGATGTAATTCACATTATTTGGATCATTTCAGCAGATCAAGAAGAAAGTGAAGAAGACGACCTCATCACTTATGTCATCATTGAGATATCAGTTCATCAAGAACAATCTGACAAAGAAAGACGAGGTAGTATTTTTTTCTTTTCTTTATAGTGGGCTGTGGGTCAAAGGTCTGTTTTTAATATTCTTAGTAAGTATATAAATAATCTTTTCCAAAAGAAGTATTGCAAACCAATAAAACTGATTTAAAAACATGTAAACAGAGAGACATTACAATTTTATCTAAATGAAAATCTTCAACAAATATAGTTGCTAATAATAGTGTATACTTTATTGATCCCCTCTCTCTGCATTTGACCCACTCACTCAGTGAAGCAGTGGGCAGCCACACTGGGGAGCACTGTGTAGGGACGGCACCTAGCTCAAGGGTACCTCAGGGTAGCCGTTCAGTGGACTCAAACCACCAACTTTCCAATAATGGGGCGACCACTCTACCTACTAAGCTATCTGTGCCCCAAAAAGAGCTAATTGGTAGCTGAAACAGGAACACATATTTAATAGAAAGATGTGAGATATATTGCATTTATTTTATTGTGTCAAATATGAACTCCCTAATGTTCATAGCCAGGGATCCGTCTGCCAGGGCCTCCGCTCCTGGCCACTGCCAAGCACACAATGTTTCCTGACCTCTACAGTGCCTTGTGCGGGTGGTGGTGGTGGTGGGCATACAAAAGGGTTGACTAATGTCCCTTTTTTGGGCTATGCCCAGCCAGGCCCGATGGACCTCTGCTCAAAGGAGTTTTTGAATTGCTCTTTATCTGATCCCAGGACCAATGTAGCAGATCCTACTAATCACACACAACGTGCTCTGTTTACGGAAATAAAAATGGCAGCTACAGAGTTAGTAGGTGTTGTTGCAGCAATATATCAATTTCTGCAGAGTCATAACTGAAAGAATTTTGACAAATTAACTAGAGAGAAAACTCCGTTTCTGTCCATTGACTCGCTCCGTCTCCAGTTTCTGCCCCATGCTTTCTAGTTTGTCTTTTCTGGCACTGATAATTGGTAGGTACAAAAGTGACCTAGGTCGGATTTGAAAATATCGGATTTGTGCTGTTCAAACTGTCATAACGTGACTGGATATGGGTCGCATAGGGTCAAAAAAGTTAGATTTGATGCACTTTCGCATTTAGTGTGAACGTAGCCTTAGAATCGAATCCCTCCTTTTTGCAGATGATGTGGTTCTGTTTGCTTAATCAAGTGAGTTTTCTCTGAGGAGTGCCTGGTCTCTCCCTTAGAGATAGTGTGAGAAGTTTAGCCATCCCGGAGAGGCTCAGAGTAGAGCCACCGCTCCGCCACATTAAAAGGATCCAGTTGCGGTGGTTCGGATATCTGACAAGTATGCCTCTTGGGTGTCCCACTGGGAGTACGCCCAGGGGCAGACCCAGGACATGCTTTAGAGCAGTGGTTCTTAACCTGGGTTCGATCGAACCCTAGGGGTTCGGTGAGTCGGTCTCAGGGGTTCGGCAGAGCCTCCACTATGACATGCACGGCTCATTTTGTGCACCAATAAAAAACATATCTATGTCTTGAATTTGAAAAAAAGCATATTTTATTTTTCACTAAAGAGGGGTTCAGTGAATGCGCATATGAAACTGGTGGGGTTCGGTACCTCCAACAAGGTTAAGAACCACTGCTTTACAGATAATATTCCTCAGCAGTCTTTGGGAATGATGGTGTTTCCCTGGACAAACTGGAGGAGGTGGCCAAGGAGGTGGAGTTCTGGGCTTCTCTTCTTAGGGTGCTTCCCCTGCAGATAAGCAGAAATAAATGTGACAGATCAGCAATTTTCTTTAGCGAGTCTTTCATTTTAACTAATGACTCAGCCTCAGGTCCAGATGGCAGGATGTGTTGTGACACTCAGAACATTATCAGTGTTGTAATTGAGCAGTAGGACCTTAGAGCAGCTCTGATTAGTCTGACATGTATCTGCTGTCTGGTTTTTGGCCCACGTCAATTTATTGCCATATTTGCATATGGCAAATGGTAAATGGCCTGTATTTGTATAGCGCTTTACTTAGTGTTTTACTTTGTCCCTATGGGCCCCAAAGCTACAAACACTACATTCAGTCATCCACCCATTCACACACACGTTCACACACTTGTGATGGCAAGCTACATTGTAACCACAGCTTCTCCTGGGCGCATTGAGAAAGGCGAGGCTGCCGGACACTGGCGCCACCGGGCCCTCTGACCACCACCAGTAGGCAACGGGTGAAGTGTCTTGCCCAAGGACACAACAACCGAGACTGTCGGTTGTTGGTTGTCGGTCGATATAAAGAAAATGACTGAATTGACAAGATGCTGTTTAATATAATAAACACTTTTTACCGTGTCAAAGTTCGGCAAACTGTAAAACAAACTTCCTGTTGTTGATTACAGTTCATCCATCACACAGTTCATTCTCACCACAGTTTTTACTGGTTTGTCTAATAATAGTGTTCATGTTGTGAGAACATCTTTGCTTTTTGCTCTGTGGTGAAGAGTGTCAGTCTGCAGTGGAAAAAGATGGCAGCTTTGTGGTCGTCCACCTGCATCTTTCTCAGAAACAGCCTCCAGTTCTTTGTGGTCACTCAGTGTTTCACAGCAGAGGTGTTAAGATGAGGAAAAAAACTGTACAAAGATGCTGCGGTTTATAAACCAGAACATCAGTGGTATGTAGCTCCTCCTGTTCATGATACATCACATTTCTCAGGTTATTGAACCGTGTGAAGAACAGAAAGAAAGTTTTACATGTTCTTGTAATTTCTTCACTATATTGGACGATAAACTCTGGGAAGTCACACAAACAGTGTTTGGGGGGACAAATTCATCTGGTTACAAATGTGACCCTTGCAGTGGCCGGCACTGTCATGGACTTTCGTGATGACACATTAGAAACAGTAAAAATGTTTTACTGTGTGTAGCTGCACTGGTGTATTGTTGTAGCTTCAATGATTTTTGTTTTCATTTTGCAGATATTTATTTTGTAGTTGTGATCTACTCAGCAGTGAGAAGTGAAGACGTCAGTTCTGGACAAACAACCATCAGAACAAGCAGGCCCAGGTACAGCTGCTCTTTATCTTTGACTTTGCATAGAGACAAGCTCGCTGCTCATCCTGTTTGCATCCATCATGCTAAGATAAGCTGATCAAACCTCATCCTGGATCAAACTCAGAGCTCTGACCCAGTTGAACTGGGACTGTGTGTGATGCAGAGAGATGGAGGTTGGAGGTCTTGACTGAACTACAAAGCTTGTAATCATGTTTCCTGTTGTTTGAACTGTGTGTGTTTGTGTTCAGACTTTAAACCAGAGCCAGACGTCGTCTACTCTTCACTGAAGTAGTCCACCAGTCCAACCACTGACGTCCAGCTGCTGGTCTCTGGTCCACCCAGCATCTCAAACCAGAGTAAAAATTATACATAAAACACATTTTTATATGTTTTATGTCATGTTTTATGTATTTTTTGTTGGAATATTCAATATTTTTTGAGGCTAAATGAGTAATGTGCAAAGGGCCTATACACCAGTAAAGATTAGTTAGTGAAATCATAATTCAGCATGTCTTCAGAAACAAACACATTGTGGTGATAAGTATAACAAAGTTAGAAGAGATGGTGCACAAATCTGCATCTGGTTAAAAGGAAAAAACACACAAACATGAAAGAGTTTGCCAGATTTGTGCTACATGAATTAGCTGGGAGTGGAAATATGGATATTTACAGTCTTGTGCAATAAAGAATATGTGTGTTGTATCACAAGACATAATAAGACCAATGTGTTTCACTGATTCATCTACACAGGCATTTTGTAGAGGGTATAAGTGTTGTGGCAGTTGTTCGGCTGGAAACGACTGTGAGGGCCAAATTTCAACTTTCTCAAATATGAGTTTGGAGCTTAATCTCAAAATTGATAATGTTTTTTTTTTCTTAAAATGGCCCCAATACTCTCTCATAGCAGCATGACAGTCGTACTAATCTATTAACAACCAATTTGTGCTGCTGCTATTTTCAGAAACGAATCAATGTCCATTTAGGTAAGAGGGATGAGTTTAAATCTCAGTGGGTATAACACTCCTGTGACTTTCCTGGGGGCATCTTAAGATCACCACAGATGATGTGTTTTTAACCTTCTGTGAAAAGTAAAGTCTGAAATTCTGTGATACTCGAGGGGTCCTGACAGTGCTCTTCTTCTGTTCTTCACAACAGATTTAACAAAAGGTAAATCTGGTGAAGAATCAGTCACATGCGAAATTATACCCAGTGGATTAAGCATAATTTATGATCCCACAAATGTGTCTATTCATAATTATGTAATGTTTCACTTTTACCTCATGGTGGCAGTGTTTTCACACTGAATTAATTAATATTTTACCCTCCACACCATAGATTACCGTTCACATTGTACTTCAAGATGTCAGACTTTAGTTGCTTTTTTACCTAAGGATTCGGAAGCTATTTGTCAAATATATAAAAGTAAAATAATAAAATAATGCTTTTTCTGATTCCAGTGAGTTGGAATAATTTATAATTAGAGGTTACAAATGATCAGATAGCCATCACCTGGAAGGTTTAGTGTTGATTTATAGATTAATGGTTTTCAAATACAAAATCCAAATCTAATTTATTTATATAGCACATTTAAATAGTGGAAAGTTGCCCCAAAGTGCTGTATAAAAATAAAACAAGATATAAAACAAAAGATAAAACCATTCATATTAAAACACGCACATATAGGGGAAAAAAGCATATCAACTCACACCAGTCTAAATGCTAAATGCTGAAAAAAGTTGAGTTGAGAGACTTAAAAGCAAGAAGCGAAGATGCCTGTCTAATACTTAAAGGCAACGTATTCCAAAGTTTGGGAGCCACAATTGAAAAAGCTTTTTCTCCTCTAAGTTTCAACCAGTTTTGGGGACAACCGAAAGCAGCAGGTCGGCTGATCTAAGGTCCTTCAACCCTTTAGATCAGTGTTCCAAGAATACTGTGGTTGGTGAACAACATCAACGGCTGCAGTAAGATCTAAAATCACAAGAATTGCGGATCTTCCGCAATCATTTGCTAGAATTACGTCATTAAAAGCCCGTAAAAGTGTTGGTTTAGTGGAGAGTAGATGTTTAAAACCAGACTGAAAAAACACCATTAGTATCAAAAACATAATCAGTTGGGAAAAAAACGATTTTTTCCAATAGCTTTGAAAGGAAAGTGAGTTTTCAGTCTAAAATTTGAGCAAACCGAGACAGAGGTCAAGGTCACTTTGAAGAGTGTGCCCCTGCTGTTGTGTAGGGCTTTCTACAGACGGTACAAGGTTAAAAGATTGAATAAGATTTAAAAACTCCTGAGCAAACGATCCATCAGGGGAACAGACGTGAATATTAAAATCACCAACTATTAAAATCCAATCACATTTAGTCACAACTTCAGCCAAAAACATGAACAGTAATTTATAATATCTTTGTTAAACATAGGCAGATGATGGATTACTGCACACAACCAGTTGAGAGCCTCCCAGTTCAAATGTGAGAAGTTCAAAGCTGGAGGGGGAAACTGGTACATGGAGTTGTTTGCAGTGAAAGTTATTTTAAAAACTCAGTATTCCTCCTCCTCTACCTGATATCTTTAGAGCATTAAGAAATGAGCAGTCAGAGGGCAACAGTTCAGAAATTATGCTAGACTCACCAATTGAATGTTTTATTTGCTAAAGAAGCATTTATCAGTGCCATCCTCATTGGAGCTGAAGCCTGGGTAGAAGTTGTCTGTAAAGCCCAGGTTAATGGGCACATATTCAAAAAGCATGTTCCATGACTCCCAAGATGCAAAAAACAGTGGCCAGCAGGCTCACCTCCATCCAACCCCATCACAAGAACCAGACAAGAGGCAACAGGATCCAGGAGATGCCCTGGGATGGAACAGACAATAACCAACTGGAGCAGCTTCTGAAGAAACACTAAGGCAAGGTTTAAACTTGACCAGCTTAGACCTTAAACCAGTACATTTATGGCATTAATGACGGTGTGTCGGGGCAGGTGGAAGCGCTCCACGTAGCAAGTAAGAACATCAGCCAGGGGCGGTGGATACTCTGTTCTTAACTCTTTCTGATTAGAGCTTTTAAAACTTATGGCAAAAAACTGAAGATCCAAAAGTTTTGGGGCATACATACACCAGTTGTGAGTTGATTGGGTGGCAAGAACTGTCAGAAACAAAACAAACAATAACACAATTGACTGAAGAACAGCAAGCCGCACACACTGGTGCTATCTTGATTTTTTTTTCTGTATTTTAATTTTTATTGCTATTTAGTTCAACAATTTCCCCAGTGATCCACCAGGGGGAGCAGCTCATCATTTCCTTGACTAGAAATGAAATGAATGCAGCACTAATCTACACAATCACAACTGTTCTGTTTCAAAACGCTTCGAACTGTGTGGTTTTATCGCTTTCACGCAGCTGAACTAAGCATCTTGTTAACAGCTAACCAGCTCTGTTTGTTCTACTGACACATGAGGTCACGTCACTGTCAGATGTTTCATGAACACAGAATAAAAACGTAGAAGGAAAGAAGCTTTGTGTGTTTTCATTCTGCTGTACAAACCAACAGCTCATGTGAAACAAAACACACATCTGTACAATAAATAAACACTCACTGCTGAACCAGTTTGACCAGGATACTGACACACAGACACACACAGACACACCTTTTCCACCAACACACAGCTGCTGAGGATTTGATAAATAATCAGGATATTACTTAAATAATAAATAGTAATAATAAATAATTGGAAAATCCCATCGGCCTTTTTGTTTTACTTTATTCTGAAACGTGTTCTCAGCCACATTTCCCACATTTCCCACACGGTCATATGAGCCTTTAAAGTTTCCCAGAATGCACTGGTTTACCCTGGACTTGTTCCTGTTCCTCACAGATGGTTCAGTTTATTAAAACTTTGATAAAAATTTTGTCTCTAGATTGTGACAGTTGTAGTAGTTTGAGCTTTTCATAGAACTTTTTTTGTTGTTTAGTTTTTTTTAGCCATTGAAATTTCATAACTTATGAAGTTCTGAGGGAACAAATCGTAAACAGTAAATGGTTCTTATACAGCACTTTGTACTCTGAGTAGAGTAATGAATGACGTCCATGACACAGACGACACCAGAAACAAGTGCGGTGGTTTTAAACAGAGTAAGTGTTTTATTTACATTTTCCATTCATGTTGTCTGAGTATGTGATCAGACCTGCTGGACTTATGATCAATGTTTTTTTGTTTGTTTGTTTGTTTTTTTTTCCAAATGAAAAAATGCATTCACTCAAGACAGTGGATATATTTTAAACAGTCACTCTCTTGGGGTTTATTGCATGTGAAGAATTAAGAAAAGAGCCTGTTGTTTTTGTAAATAACCGTGTTGTACAGGACATTAACCATGATGTTTAGGTACATGTGACATTTGAATTTTACTCAGTAGAATAAGTTGATTTCAATTCACATACACTCCACAGACAGGATGTTTCTACACATCTACCTGTTTCACCGAGACAAGTTCACTTCCTGTTACTTTGTAAGTGTACTTGTTTGTCAAATATGTGTATGTAAAGCTGGAGAAGACAGGACTGTGGTTTCTAAAATGTTGCTATGGTCTTCAGTGGAATAACAGATTGGCTACTAAAGGTAGACAAAGCTCTCCAGAACAGCTGTGGGTTTATGGTTGTGACAGCTAATATTTTATTATGAAGCACTTATATGTAGTTACACAAAGTTCTTTTTTCATCAACGTTTATGGGAAAGTCAACCAAGTAGCTCAATCACAGATCTCGCATCTTAATCAGTGACTTATTTAAATCTGAATTTAATCTTAGTTAGATTGAAACTCTGTTTCTGTTTTCACTGAAAATACAAACAGTCTAAGACATTTAGCAGAAAGCAGATTATCACAACTAGATAACAGAGGAATGTTTGCTTTACTCTGATCAGTTTCTCTGTTTGTGGGTTTTGTTGTGTTTGTGTCTGCAGGCAAGATTTAACTGTTAGGAGTAGGAAGGTTTTATTTATGTCAGGTCTACAGAGGAACAAAATCCATTTTTTTAGAAGCTTTCTAGACATTAACACACATTTTAACTTCATTATAAAAGAGTAATCATATAAAACATAGACATAAAATATAGACTTCACCTGCATATAGTCTTTGAGCTCTGGGCCAAAGTACAGGTGGAATTACACATTATTACTCTGCTGTTTACAAAAGAACTTACATTTTGAGATATCTTTGGTATTTATTTATTCATTTATTTATTTATTTATTTTAATACGTCTCCCTGGTCATAAATATAAACATCCACCAGGAGGTGCTGCAGCACCTGCTCCCCACAGTCTTGAGCTAAAATGTGTCACTATTTTATTTCTACAGACTGAATAAAAAGGAATGACCCAAAAAAAATTACTGACCAGAAAAAGACCATAAAATATTTCCCATCTAATCTTCACTCACTGTCAGCACAGAGAAAGGAAGTTAATATTTAATCATTTCTCTTTGTTACATTTTAACTTCTCTTCAAATTTCATCAAATGTTCCCTGCTGGATTTTGAATGATGATTTTCAAAAATTTCCTCAGAGGAGGAAAAATAAACAGGAAACAAATCAAACTTTTACATTTAAGGAAGCTGGAGGTTTAGTTTCTGTTTGTTGTCTTTAGCAAACTTTCTCAGATGATCATTTCAAAGGAGTTACTGATCATTTAATTCATTAATTTTCTTTTAAGTGAACAGTTTATGC